TATTTTTTTGGGTTTTAAAGGTTATTTTACGACTCATTTTTTTGACTTTAGACATCAAATTTTTGTGTCTTTTTTTGCTATTTTTTTAATCTTTTTCTTTTTGCTTCTTTCGTGAATTTCTCCATTTCTCTAATGAATTTTTTTCCGCCAGGTGTACTTTTTCTTACCTTTCCCGTCAGTTTTCTCGCTTAAAACCCGTTTTTACTTAAATTTCTTCAAACAGTTCTTCTTTCAGATTTTTTTGAACTGAGGAAAAGTCGATGATTATATAGATTATCGGGTTTTATCAGTCAAAATGGACGGAGACGCGGCCTCCGAACTGCCGGAAGAGGTCCGCGAACGGCTCGCCGAACTTGAAATTGAACTCAGTGAAGGTTTTTATTTTTATCTTTTGTTTAATTTTTTTAATTTTTTTACTCGGAAACTCAGAAATAGCCTCTTTTTTTCAAAAAAATTGCTCAAAAATTTCGAGAAAAAAATGGATTTCTGATTGTTTCTACATGTTAAACTTGAGCTCATTGGATGTTTTTTCGAAGATTTCGTCAAAAAATTTGAAAAAAGTTTAATGAGGAATTATTTTACTAGAAAATTGTCTGAAATGTGCTCATTTTTTTAATAACTTGCCCTAATCATTGAAAAAGGATTTCTGATCGTTTTTTTATATGGTAAAGTGGACCTCATGGGATGTTTTTTTGGAGACTTCGTCGAAAATTTTTGAAAAAAACATTTTTATGATGGATCATTTTTTTCAGTTTCAATTCAAACTATTTATACTGCAAAAATTGACTAAAATGTGCTCTTTCTTTAGCCGATCAAACTAGTGAATAGTCAGAAAAGTAGTAAAACAAGACATTTGGCTGAAAATTTCATGAAAAAGTGTTAGAAATACGTTTTTTTCTACATGTTAAAATTGAGCCTAATTGAGATGGATTTCAAATATTCATTTAAATTCATAAAAACCCGAGAAAAAGAGATGATTAAAATTTGAAAAAGCTTCATAAAAATGAGCAGTTACCACTTTTTTTCCTCTCATAATTTGAATAAAAACGTGCTTGTGATATTTTTCACGTGTTAGAGATGATCGTGGAGAAGGCATTTTATCCAAGAAAAAAAGCTTTAAAAAAGATATAGAATTTTTCCTGGATATTGATTACAAGTTTTTAGAGACTTGATTTCGATGCATTTCATCCGGGAAAAATTTCGGAAAAAGGTCAATTTTTTTCAGACTATTGTTTTTTTGAAGATTTTGTACACTTATTTTTTTGATGCAATTTATCCGGAAAAATGTTTAAAAAAATGATGAATTTCTCAGTTCATTGTATTAAAGTTTTTCGACAATCGATTTGTACGCAGTTAATCCGGAAAATAAGCTCATGAAAGATCTTTAAAATAAATTTCAGGCGACATCACTCAGAAGGGGTTCGATAAAAAGAAGGCTCGTTTGCTGGCTCCCTATGCCAATTCCATCAAAAGCGGTTCGTTTTCTGTTTGATTTTATTACTTGTCGGAACATTTTTAGTGGCCACTATAGAGGCTCGCCAAGGGCTATTTGGAGAGGGCACTAAAGAGGCCACTAAACACACCTCTATAGTAGCCACTCTTTTCCGTTTTAGTGGCCACTTCAGTAGTTTTTCATCCAGTATTCCTTCCAGTAACTTTGATAATTTTGAAACAAACAGATTGGACGAGTTATGTTGATCCATTGACCCCTAAAGTGGCCACTGAGTGGTCTAGTAGTAGCACTTAGACCTCTATAGTGGCTACTAATTTGACTACTATAGTGGCCGCTAAAAATTTTCCCAGTTTGTTCTGCGTGTGTTCATATTACCCTGCTGTTTTTGAATGTCCCAAGTTTTACAGTAGAAACGGGAATCAAGAGTTTGAAAATTGACGGTCTTCAGCTCAAAAATGGTCCAATTGATGACGCTTTTGGAATCACAACTTTAAAATTTACGTTCAATTTACGATTCAAATCAGCTCGATTTAAACTTTTTGTTCCACAAATTTTCTAGTTTTCGTGTTGATTCGGTGTTTTTGTGAATTTTGTATTGATCGTTACATAAATTCAGTTCGATTTTACTTTTTCTTGGCGAAATGTTTCTTTTCGTAAATATCCAAAGTCCTTCTTGAAACTGTCCTAAACCCCCCATATTTTTTTCCCAAAAAAATGAAGCCCAAAGCCGAGGCCGGCCCGCTCAACCTGACGCACAAGCCTGCCATAAGAAACGATTAGAATTCAACATAGTTTCGAAAAAAATCCGACGTCGTTCTTGAAGCCGTCTAACCCCCCCCGCGCAGCTTTTTCAAGAAATAAAAACGAAGCCCGGGCCGGCGCGCCCAACGTCGCCCATCCTGACGCACAAGCCTTCCATAAGAAACGATTAAAATTCAACGTAATTTCGAAAAAAATCCGACGTCCTTTTTGAAACCGTCCTAACCCCCATCTTTTTCACAAAAAAACAAAGCTTAAAGCCCGGGCCAGCCCGTCCATGGTCGCCCTACCTGACGCACAATCCTGCCATAAAAAAGATCGAAATACAACAAAGTTTCGAAAAAATCCGACGTCGTTCTTGAAACCGTTGATTTCTTTTTATTTCCAGTCATCACGAACAGTTCGGCCTCCGCTGCTTCCAACGATCCCCCGACAAGTTCCAATGGCTCGGCTCCTTCCCCGAACACCCGAGCCAATCGAAGACATCAGCGACGTCTGACCCGAGATGAGGGCCGATACCATTCTGGTTCGCCTTTTTGAAAGAAAGAAACTGAGAAAACTCTAGAAATACCTTTTTAGGAGCTGTTGGTCCCTTTAAAAAAAGCCACCAAACTTTTCCCCTGTTCTGAAAAGTTAAGCCACTTAAGAGGTTCCCTAAAAACTACAGTAGACGACACTAAAGTGGCCACTACGTCTATAGAAGCCACTATTTTGAGTTCTAGTTGCTATTACAGTGTTTTTTCAATGATCGAAAGAGGTCTCTAAGTTTCAGTCACATAAGTGGTCCCTTAGGGACTACATGGAGAGGACGCTTAAGTGACCTCTCAAACCACCTCTAGAGAAGCCATTATTTTGCGTCTTAGTGGCCACTGAAGTGTATTTTAATCGTCCAGTAGTATCACTTAGATTTATGAAGAGACCCTTAAGTTTCAGTCACTCAAGTGGTTTCTTAGGGACTACATGAAGAGGACACTAAAGTGGCCACTCAAAACTCCTCTATAGAAGCTACTATTTTGCGTCTTAGTGGCCATTGAAAGGGTTTTCATTGGTCTAGTAGTACCACTTAGACTCCTAAAGAGGCCACTAAACTTACCACTGTAGTGGCCACTGACGCGTCAAAACACTAAAGTGGCCACTGAGAATTCACTCAGAGAAAAATCTGCACTAGTAACTGCTATAGGAACATTGAAAAAAAAGACGAAAATAAGGTTTTTGGACTTTTTTTTCCAGAAAGAGACTTCAGACCAGTCTAATTTTCGTTACGAAAAATTCTTGTCAATTTTTTTCTATTTTCGTAAGAGCTTTTTTATTTTTAGTTACATTTTATGATAATGAAAACATTATCAAAAATCAATAAGCTTGAAAAAAATTTTTTAAAATCTTACCAACGAGTTTTCTGATCGCATTTTGAATGAGATTAGGTCTACTAGTGATAATTTTTCAAGCTGATTCCAATTATGGCTTCAAAAATTAACAGGGAGGTGCGTGAAAAAAGTTAGGGACACTCAAAAGTCAAAAAGTTCCATTGGAGGTTTTTTTTTCAAAAAGTGGTAGAAAAAATTTATTTTTTTGATAAAATCGAATATTTTTCCCATGATGACATGGTTAAGAAAGAATGCCAAAGTTTGGAATTATCTCTAACTCTCCAAAATTTAGTTATCTTTCTCACTCTCTGACGGCTATTTTGAGCTTCGTTAAATCACGTTGAACACGACTTTCATCCTGAAATTTTTTTGACGGTTACTTATTAAAATCGAAATTCTACAGAAATCCGCGCCGAAGCGGTCCACCAAGCATTGGCCGAATATTCGGACGGCCGAAAATTGGCTCCACAATTAGTTCAGCCCAAAAGAAGAGTCGCTCCAGGCGCTTCCAATGGACGAAAAACGGCCAAAAATGTCCTTTCCGGTCAGTTTTTCTACTTTTTTTGATTATTCCAAAGTTTTGGTAATGCTGAACCTTTAAGGAATATAAAAAAAACGGTTGAAATTATCAAAATATTTTTTTGTTAGGGTGAAAAATGAAACGAATGGAAAGTTATCTATATGAAAAAAACTGGTTTTCAAGAGTTTTTCAGATACCTTTTTTTCCCCATTGTTGACCAGTTTTTGTTTGTCTCCCCCACGCATATTCTACCTCCGACGGCTATTAAACTCAACTTTCGAATATCGGATTTCGCGTCGAGACCTGCCCATAACTTTGAGGAAAATCCCTTTTTTTCTTCTCCTATGAAGAATCTTTTTCTTTCGCTTTAATTTTATCTAGTCTGAGAGAGATCCATGGAGCTTTCGTTTTTTTTTTATATGAAAATTACTTCGCTCCTGATCTTTTGATGGCTTTTTTTGAACCCTGATTTTATTTGGAAAAGCTCTTTTTCGTTATTACCATGACTACAAAATCGCAGATCAAGTTGAATATTCTGTCGTAGTCGGTGCTACAGTCTGTGTGCCACGACTTGAAATTTTATGGAACGACACTCCGCTGCGTGGCCTTGTGGCCGTGAAAGCGTCTTCGCCTTTGCGAATCTCGGTCGCGCTTTCAAATTTTTTTAAATTTCCTATTTTGACTGTTTTTAATTATATTTAAGTTTGTTTTTTTGTGCCAAAAAAATAATAATTATGATGAAAAATCTGGAATTAATGAAAAAAATGAAAAAAAGCGCAAAGGCGAGATGCTTCGCGACAGCGCGCACAAGAACCACAAGAACAGCGGAGTGTCGTTCCATGAAATTTCAAGTCGTGGCACATCGACTATAGATAAAAGTCTTTGAAACGAAAATAATCAGCCGCCCATCGAGAATGTAAGGAAAAAATAATCAAAAAGAATTTTTCAGTGGAACTTCAAATTCTAAACCCTATTATGAAGGACTTTATTACATCGGCAAAGTCGGAAGGGTGAAAAAAAGCTCTATAAAAATGTTCCTGCCTTTTTGCGCCCTTTCCTCGACTATTATGCACCATTTTTGCTGCCTCTTCTTTTTTCCACCATTTCTTGAGCCTTTGAAATCCCAGAAAAAGTGGAAGGCTCGATAAAAGGACTCTTTTTGCGACCTTTTTGGTGCCTTTTTGCAGCCTTTTTGCGACCTTTTTGTGGCATTTCTGCGGCCTTTCCGCGTCTTTTCTTGAACCTATCGCTTTTCCGATTTCGGCCGAGTATAACCAACACTAAAAAGGAATTATTTTTTTTTCCTGAAACCCAAGTTTCTTGAACTTTTTTCGTAATTTTTTGATATGCTGTTTATGGGAACCCCATACCACGAAAATTCGGGCCAGTCTGTGTTTTCTCTTGTTTGAGTTCGAAAAGGCTTTGGTAAGTGCCAAAAGCCTCAGAACCATGCATGGAATGAGCATGACAGCCAAGGGTCCCCCCTGAACCTAAGGGCAAGCCCCCCATGCAAAAGTGATTGAGACCTGTAAGCAAAGACTTTAATGATTTTTGAGCGATTTGAAGGAATGACAACGAAAATTAAACGTTTTGAGTTGGAAAAGGCTTGTAGTGAGATCAACAGAGACACGAGTGAGTGCCAAAAGCACGGCGTTGTAAGGACGTCTTGTGTTTGGTGTTGTTGAGCTTCTCCCCCCTCCGGAGTGTGCGAGAGACGGGAAAAGCTGTGATGTCGTTGACCAGCGAATCCTTCCCCGTTTCCTCCATCTTATGCACACTTTCTCACGTATATCCTTCACCTTTCATTGTCCTTTTGTAACATTGAAGTTTTAATGAATGGACTTATAATTTGACGGACTTTTTTTGAAGATAATGTGAAGTTTCGTATGAAAATTCTAAGTTTTCGTTTTCGAGGTAATTTAATGGCTTTTCCGAGGAATCTTTGAAGAGATTGATCTATAATTTTCAAGATTTTGTAATTACTTGACAGAAAAAGGTCTTGGAAGTATTGAAAAAAGCTTTGAAAATTTTCAAAATTTCCATTTTCAATGTATTTCGACAGTTTTTCTACAGGAAAAAGCCATGAAAGTTTGAAAAAATCCCTTTTTCCCAAAGGTCTGAATTCACAAACTTCCATAATCTGATCTTCTAAAAAAATAATTTCTTACGAATTTTTTTCAATATCTGAACTTGTTGAAGACGCTCTGGCGCACCAAAAAAGACGCTCTGGCGCACCAAAAAAGATGCTCTGGCGCACCGAAAAAGGCGCTCTGACTCATTAAAAAAGAAGCTCTGACGAACCAAAAAAGACGCTCAGACTCATAAAAAAAAGGCGCTCTGGCGCACCTGACTACGATTGGGCTCTGAATTCTTCTAGAGGCGGGAGAGCACTAATTTTTAATTTTTCTCCCGTAGGAAAATGAAAAAATGATATACCTTATGTGAGTGGTTCTCACTTTGCACTACATAAACCCGACCTTTTTTTTCTTCAAAATTACTCCTTTTTGTTAATTTTGACCTTGATTTTACATTCGAAGGCGTGAAAATGCTCGAAAATGCCTAGCGGATTTTTCCGGCCAGATAGAACACTTTTTCTAGCGTAACCCATTTCGAAAACTTTTTAAAATTGCCAAAAAGACAAATTTTCAAAGAATTAAGGCAGGTTTTTAAGAAAAATAAGCCTTTCTCACAATTTCCATTTTCCTATTTTTACACTGCTAACTATTCGAAAAAGAAACAGAAAAGAACGACGAAATTGCAACATTTTTCTTCGAAGCGAAGCCTTGGGAACAGCAAGTTGGATAATAAATTCTCCCATTGAGAACGAGCTGCAACAGTCGTGGTTTCATTGAGTTTGAGAGGCCAAAATCCACGAGGAAAGATCAGGAAAAGTCGAATTTCACGAGAAGGATCCAAAATGAATCGTTTTCTACGGGCAGAGTTCAAAAGTATTTACAAAAGTAGCTTTTTAAAAAAACTTTTTCTAGCGCCAGTTCCAGAAAAAGATAAAAAAAAAGGTCATTTTTTTATTGAAAAAAAATAGGAAGCAGGAGCCTAATAGCACCTTGAACATTCGTAACGCGAAACGGACGTTTCTGGGCACTTCTAGGGATCACTTAAGAGTACTGACGCACTAAAGTCGTCGCTAGAAATGCGTAGAAACGTCCGTTTCGCCATACCAATGTCCAAGACCTTTTTAGAAGCTTCTGGTCCCCTAAAAAGGTCCCTTTTTCTAAAAAAAAAAAACTCTAGTGGGCACTTAAGGGGCTCCTCAAGGACTACTTCGAGGGGACACTTAGGTGATCACTACCTCTATAGTAGCCTCTATTCCGCTATTAAGGAACCATTATAGTAGTTTTTAATGGTCCAGTAGGGCCACTTTGACTTTTAAAGACGTCACTTAAGTGGACACTAGTTCGACCACTATAGTGGCCACTAAAATTACCTCTATAGAAGCCCCTATTCCGCTACTAAGGGGCTACTATAGTAGTTTTCATTGGTCCAATAGGTCCACTTAAGTAAAAACTAGTTCGACCACTATAGTGGCCACTAAAATTAAAAAACCCTAAAGAGGTCTCTTAAGTCTTTTCCCAGGGTCTAGTATTACCTCTTCTAGATAGTCCATCAAGTTTCAGACACTTAAGTGGTCACTTTTTTGACTACTATAGAGGGCGCTAGAACGTGAAAACCCTCAAGTGGTCACTCGAATTTTTCCCAGTAAATTTTCAAAATTATTCACATTTCTTTCTGGTTTCGAAACGATTAAACGAGAGATTTTCAAATTTTGAACTATAGTGAGCCGACCAATCAGTTGTCAGTAGTTCTCAGGGCGTTACCCAACATTTTGATGGATGTCCTGGTCGAAGAGTTCTGAGTCATCCGAGTTTTTGATTGAAAGATTATGAGAGAAAAAAAGTACGAAAATGGGGTTTTATATGATTTTTATTCTCCATGGAGCGCAGTTGATACGATTTTCGATTTGATTTCGAATTTTTCCGTGATTCAGCTTTGAATGGACTTTGAGTAGAATATTAGCCGTGGAGCGCAATTACCATGATTTTAAATGTAATTTGGAGTTTCGTAGCGGAGTTTTTCTTGATTTCAATTGCATTTTTGATTCAAAAAAATATTTTTAACCAATAAATTTCAGCAAATTAGCATGAGAGCGCAATCGTAACGATTTTTGAAGTTTTTTCGAGATTTTTAAGGGGAATTTTCAAATTTTTAGCGCAATGGCCCTCGTATATCACGTCGATTCTGGCCCTCTCTCAGTTTCTCGTAAATCGTTTGATTCATGGCCTCCCCAGAACCAAATGTGATTCAGTTTTCTTTTTTTTTGTGTTCCTTTTTTTCCAAGCTTCTCCTTTTCAATTTTCTTGATTAAAATGGCTCGGAATGGAGCTTTCTGAGTGGATTTTTGCCTTTTTTCCGGTTTTTTTTTGAGTATTTTAGCTTTTTTAAAGGTATTCTTGAGGTTTGACGGCTGAAAACTAGGGTATTTAGAATGATTTTGGATTTTAACAATTCCTAGTTTTTGAGAAATGACACTTCAAAGTACAACAAAATCCGTAAAAATCGGTCATTTTTTGGGATTTTCAGCCCTCGTTTTTCAGAAACTAGTAAGATGTGCAGGTTGAGACTTACTGTATCTTTTTCTGGTACATCTAGAGGTTTTTTGGCCACATCAAAGTACAAAAAAATCCGTAAAAATCGGCCATTTTTGGGATTTTTAGCCCGCTTTTTTCAAAAACTAGTAAGATGTGCAGGTTGAGACTTACTGTATCTTTTTCTGGTACATCTAGAGGTTTTTTGGCCACATCAAAGTACAAAAAAATCCGTAAAAATCGGCCATTTTTGGGATTTTTAGCCCGCTTTTTTCAAAAACTAGTAAGATGTGCAGGTTGAGACTTACAGTATCTTTTTCTGAGCGTTGGAAAGTTTTTTGACCACTTCAAAGTACAACAAAATCCGTAAAAATAGGACATTTTTGGGGTTTTTAGCCCTCATTTTCCAGAAACTAGTAAGATGTGCAGGTTGAGACATACAG